GCATGAGCAGTAGCATCGATACCCCTATCAACGCTGCTCCATGCAGCAGATGGGTCGCCGTTAATTATCCTCTGCGACGGCCAGATCGCGAAGAAAAATTGGGAAAGAATTCATTGTATTGCGTGGGCATTGTACTGTCAGGTTGCCCAAGGCTTTGCAGGAGAACGATTGGACTTCTCAAGGAAGTCTTTTCGTTCAAATCTTGGGCGCAAGGCAGCGGGGTTTTTTGTACTTTATTACAGAATGCCCGTTTTATGGAGCAAGGGACCACTCTCACTCCATCCCACAACCTGAAGGGCCAGGAGGCTGATTTTTTCTGCTCTCTCACCGTTGACCAATCTGGTATGAGTGGCTCTGAGGTGAAAGAAGGCACCACCCAGCATAGCTCAATGGATTATTAAGACCCACATACCATCGCATCACTTTAGGATCCATTCGCGTCGCGGTTGTCGATTATCGATCGATTCCCAATGAATGTTAACTGATCAACAGTAGACTGCAAAACTTGTTGCAGTGATTGCAAACAGTATTGAAAGTGCTGGGGTCTCGGTTCCTCGGACAGTTTTAAGTAACTTTCGTCGTGTAGGTGTGAAAACTCAACGGGTACTGGAAAATGAAGTGGTTGCGCGCGTTAGTTTCAGTAACAAATCTCTTACAACTGCTGACGGGTTAAACGTTGAGGGGATAAAGTTAACCCGAAAAATAAGCAATCACACTGTTAAGTTGATAAACCCGAGTCAACTGCATGTATGCTCAACAGTGTGTAGTAAAATGATGAGCAATTAATGAATAAAGTGTGGAGCACTAAAACAGTGCGAATACACTGCATACCTACTAATGGAAGGCGGTAGCTAACAAAGCTATAGTCACTTGCATTCCGGGTTTGTAAAGTATTTAAAACCAACTTATGAAGAAAAAGTTATCGTGGAGTTGATAAAAGAGTGAAAATATCTCCCAGTCTGTCAAATTAGCGGAGAATCGGGTTGTCATTAAGAAACGTGCATGCTGTTTGAAAGTTCAAGGCACTTAGTAAGATTCAGCTGGTCGAAGCATGAAATGTATTAGATTTTTACCCGGGACCCTCATGTGTGTTTATAGATGAAAATATGAACACCAGACGGTACTCGGCTCTGTGCTATCGTGTTGTGAAAGAATAGTCAAATTCTCTGGAAGGATAAGAGCAATACCCGTCACTTATGCGGTAATCACGTTCAGTTTTGTCATACCGATTCAATACTGTGAAGGCTGTCAATTAGTTAAGGGCAATAAATATTTAGTCAAGTCAAGATAAGCTTTATACACCCGTGTGGGAGCACTTTCAGAAGATGAAACCGAAATATTACAAAGATGTTCGATATTTACGGTTGCGTACAATTAATCCCAGTTTCCATGAATCATAACGAATGACAGATAAGCAAGTAAACTAATGTGCAAACGAATGATAGGTGCATGACACCCAGCCTAAGCTGATAATTTGAGATCGACCACTCGTGATACACTAAGGTCAATCTCTTTTAACTATGTTTTTCCGACCTTCCAACGGCGTTGTAACACGGGTCTAATGTGTGTTAGATTCCTGTGCCGCAGTGTAGTATACTACTAGAATCTGGCATAAGGCAAGCCTCGAACCGAAACTAGCTTCGAAACAGAGGGCAAAGGGCCGAATTGTAATTCGAACTACGCAGGCAATATTATTTGGTATCATAGATAATGCAACCTGAGAAATGTGAAGCACACCAATATTAAAAACCACAGCATTCTATGCAGCTTGAATGCTGCTCTGGATTTTTGGAATTTTTCTGGGGCTTATCTTGAAGGTGTTGTGATGTTCCACGTCGATTATGATCTTCGGTATCTGGAATGAAATCTGGAAAAGGTACAGTGGTATAGATCACAAAAGCATTGGATATTTCTATTGACTGATCTGGGTCTCTGAACTTTACCTGGTCCACATGACGAATGTGCACAGACAAAGCATCCATGTCAAACATCCACAGCATACGTCGTCCGAGCTTACTCACAACAAGTGGATAGCTGGGTCGGAAATGATTGCCCCTGAAGTAGGAGGCCTCGGCCTTTCCCAACCTGAGCATATTAGAAAGAAGTGGCAGGGATTTGCACATTTTAGCAGGTGTCTGTCCAGTGCTAGAATGAACCCAGTTACGATACTGAAGTAAGAAGTTAGCATTAAACTGATCGAGTTCATCAAAAGTTGTTGGAGCACATGAAGTAATTGCATATGCCAATATACCAACAAGTTTTCAGCCAATCAGTTGGAGCAAGGATGTCTGAGGGCGGTAAACAGATAACAGCAACCAAGGCTCCGTAACCAATCTGTAACACCCGACGTGGTGAAACTTGAGCTATTATCACCCACAATAAGTAAGCACTTTCTTAGGGCACGAATAGCAGAATTGGCTTTTTGTTTATCCGTCATGAATACCTCAGGCTGTTACGAATAAGAATTAATTATTACAAGCGCATAATACTTCTGGAGGAATGGACCGCCTTAATCAATGTGGACACGCTGACCGCCTTCAAGCACCATTGGCCAAGGTGTCCATTTAGATGGCTGACTTCTTACCCTTTGTTGGCAATGTTTACATAGTGAAGCAATCTGTCGAATATCGGCATCAATAGCAGTCCACCAACATGGAGATCGGGCTTTAGACTTCATCTTTTAAATGCCCAAATGTCCAGAATGAAGACCGGTCAGAACTGTAGCCCGCAAAGGGGAAGGAATAACATTACGATCATTGACACACAATGTACCAAGCGTAACACATAATTAGCACGAGATTGCTAAAACTAGGCAAACTTTCAATTTAACACAGACGACCAGCCCTGTGTTACAGCTAAAGTTATCGATCCGAGGCGCTTCCTCGTTGCACACGATATATGAAGTGGTTGAGGAAATAAGCAATTCACTTCGGAATCAGGTTCAAGCGAACAAGCATGTCGAGAAATATCATCCACGTGGGATATGTCATTAGCACTTCTGCATTCTATCTCATATTCATGGGGACTGAGTGCTATGCTCCATCTTTGAACCACCGCTGCAGAGGAATTTGCCAACGAGCTAGATGGATTGTATATATACTCGAACGCTTCATGATCAGTCGCTATGGTGAACTTCAAGCAGAACAGCCGAGTCACAGCCAAATACACACCCAAGGCTTCATGCTGCGTCTGCACCTATCGCATCACAGCTTTGCTGAGTCTGAGAGAAATGCAAAGAACTGGGCGTCCTACTTGTTCTACCACAGCACCAATACCACTTGGAGAAGCATCAGTAATAAGAACAGGATGAATTTCAGGTAAAAAAAAGCCGAATTACACCGTCAGACTGGAGTGAGTTTAGTAGCTTCCGCAGCACTGTTTTATGCTTTGCAGACCATACAAAATTTTTGGAGTTCAGCAATAGAAACAAGATTGCGTATGAACTTTTTGTTGTATTGTAAGGTTCCTATCAAGGATCTTAGTTCATGTACCTTTATCGGGGAGTTCACATCAACCATTTGTTTAAGACAATCTGCATCAGAGCTAAATCCAGAAGATGTGACTTGGTAACCCAGACAACTGACTTCTTTCACATAAATCACATACATTTTGGGCTTCACCATTACATTGGCATCTTTAAACCCCTTCAATAGTGCTAGTAGGCGAGAATCAGGAACAAATTTGTCAGCGACAAATACAGTGACATCAACTTGGTATACTTCGACGCCTTCTAAACGTTTCACAAGTCAATTCATGACATTCTGAAATATGGCTGGAGATACACTAAGACCAGAAGGAAGAAAACGACAACGGTACAATGCGAAAAACGTATTCATAGTAGTTAGTTCACTAAACAATATCTGTAAATAGCATGCTTTATGTTCAGTTTCGAGAAAACTCCAGAATCATACAAGCGGGAGAGAGTGGTTTCAGATTTTCTGTAGCACAGCTACGCTGACACACTCTCGTGTTAAGTGTTCCGATAATCAACACAGAATCTGAGTGTCTGACCACCTACCTTTAGTGGTATGACAATGGGTATTGCCCATCGGGATTTTTGCACTGGCAAAAGTAATCCTTTTTCACACAAAGTCTAACATCTTCCGGAGTGGATCCCTTAGTCCATGTGGCCGAATTCTGCTATCATGTAATACAGGATCTCCAATGACCTCAATCTCTATTGGAGGAGTCTTCATACCAACAGTCGCTATGGCGGTCATCAATCAGAGAACGCATTTGAGCCTTAGTGTCTGCGGTCAACAGATTTGAAACATTTAACTTGAGCGCCTGCACAACCTTCAACCCAGGAATAAATGTGCTACGACTTGTGACGACAAAATTACAACCGCCGAGATTGTTTTGTTTGTTTACTTTGAGTGGAGATCCGACAAATTAGTCTCTCTTCAGCGGCAACAGCCAGTCAACAGTTACTACAGATGATTATTGTTGACGTACATCTGTGAAAGTTTATTAGATTTATCGTGTCTATAGTGTGAGAAAATTGAAAATAAGAAAACTATTAGAATAGTACAGAATTCCAGCAACAGTTTACTAGGTTTAAGCTAATAACATTGCGGGCCGTTTTCCTGTCATCAGAAAAATGTCTGAGCTTGTAGCCAAGCTGGACAGAGAATTCAGCTGAAGGTGGAAAACTGTTTTCTTACACTGGAATTACAGTCAAGTCAAGTGTAGGTAGATGCAAACACAGGGTATCATTTAGGGCTGTCTTGTACGTCTACACCAACTGACGTTGTCAGGCGGCGCCCGAAAAGGCGAATTGTGAACAGGGCTCTAGCGCACTAGCTTCCACTTAATGTCGGGTTACATCTCAACAGTAGTTTGAGACTTCACTTAAATATTTCATCTTGTTCATATCTGGTTAGTGCGGCGAAACTGTATTTTTTTCCGTGCGATATGCTTTCAGTGCTTGCCTTCTTTCTATCCCGCATAGGTTTTTACGACGGCATCTCGTGAGGGATCATCAACCTAGAGATCAGATCATGGACGTTTTCGGAAAGATAACCGTAGCCCTTCATTATGCCAGCCTAGCTTCCACATCAAAAAAAGCGGACCAGTATTTATCCAAACTGCATCCCATTCCTAAGCGCCTTCCAGTTCATATAATCACTCAACACTGGCCATCCGAGTTCAACATCTTACCAAGAGGTGCAAGCGATTTACATGGGTTCATAGAACTTAGTGCCCTAGAATCAGTGCCATCTTCTGTTGTGGGTACGGCGTCGTCCATCGCTACAGTAAGCTTGCAAGAGAAATGTGCCTCGGGAGGCTCATCTGTGCAACCAGTCCCTGGTACCGTAAAGACTGCAGCCGAATCATCCGATTGGCGCAAGACGAAAAAACGATTGAAGATGCCCGATGCCCTAATTGAAGAGAGTAGCCCCACATCGGATGATTTATATTCCTTGCAAAATGGAAATGTCAGCACACCCAGCACTGAAAGCTCCACAAGTTCGAGTGAGGCAGGGCAGCGAGGGAAGGCTTGCTCCCCAGGATGCATAAAGTGGGTGAATGCATTGAAGACAAACGTAAGTTCATAGACCACCATTGAAGGCGTGCAATATATATATATATATATATATATATATATATATATATATATATATCATCGTTTTTAGGTGAAGTAATGATGTTCCACTCAATACCCGGTGACACCCTGTTTACTGATAGCCTGATCACCAATCCGGAAAAGCAGCAGACTGTCATTTCGCTCTATCGGGATTTTTCAGTGGTGCTCATCTTCCGGCTCCGTCAGGAATTAAACCATGACTGGGAACAGCTTTCGCCAACTAGTCATCAGCTTGTATCACTGAGCAGACCTATACAGTTAACTATTATGCCACTGATCCCAAGTTTGATTTCACTGCGGAAATATTGAACTGTACGACGACTGCCCCGAGTAGTTCGGCGGTTATACATACCTGGCAATTTAAAATTAGGAATCATAATCTAGTTGAGGTTTAGGTGAAATGCTGCCGTCCCCCATGTTCACGAGGCTATTCTCGATTGTTAAGGGTGAGGAGCGCCTCAGGTATTTTACCGCTGTCTTCGCAGTTTAGCACATGTCCGGTAGGACAACCGGATGTGCAGTGTGTGTTCGGCGTCGCGTATTTGGTGCAAGAAGAGCGAGTGAACCGCTCGGCATCGTTATATCACGCTCAGGCTCCGAGGGTTGGGCTATGTGTTGCGCATGCCATCACCGTGAATTCTGCGACGTGCGTACTTTTCCCGATCTGTGTGTGGATGGAGGAGGGGAGGTCAACTGATGACAGTCGGAAAGGATGGGGACTCTCACTTCGAAGTTGGAATCGGTTGGTGTCTCCCTACCGCCGGGCAGTGGTCCCAAGTACGACGAACACGTTTGGTTGGATACACTTATTGACATAGCGAAGATGCGTTCGTATTTTGAGTTTCTTTACACCCCCTCTCACTTATTTTCCCCCTCCTACCACGAGCTCATTTCTGATGCATAATAGCATATTATTTTGTTTTGGTTTTTGTTTCGTATTAAGTAATAATTGCTGCTTCGTTTTACCATATATCATACCTTTTTGCATTGTGTCACGATAGCCCAGGTGTTGCTCATCTTTAACAAGCAAGAGCAACGTCGTGAGAATGGGGGACGGTGGCACATCGCCCGAAATATAAAACGATGATGATACCTAATTTCAAGTAACCACGTCGGTATAATTGCCGGGCCACTTGGATCTGTCGTCTCGCAGTTCAACCTTTCGACATTGGAATCAAGCTTGACGTCAACAGGATATAAGTCTAACTATCTAAATGGACTAAGTAGTCAGTTGAATCAACCACCAACCAGCATAAAAATGCGCCTGTTTCGAAGGCAGGCGAGTTGAGTCAAGTGAACGTTTTTAGTGCGGTTGACTGTTACCTTATGTGTTCACTAGGCCCCAAATACACTAGCTTACTTAATGATATTGGGTGGGCAATGGCGGCCGTATCACACAGGCATAACTACCAGTGTATAATGAAAGAAAACCAGTGTTAATGTGTCACTGTGATATACTGTGGGATGAGATATTTAATGTATTGCTAACGATGTGCTATCTCTACTCCCGCTCCGTTCTTCTTCAGTATCCAAACATCAAGAATGTACAAGAAATGGATTATGCTTTGCGTAGAATGTTCTCCCGTTCCATGGAGCACTTGAATTACGTGGAAAAAATGAGATACGCTATTCGACAAAAGCATTCAATCATACGATATCAACAGAAGCTGCAACAGTAAGCTAATATGGTGCTGTTTCTGTGATTTATCCCAGAAAGAAACGCTAGTGGTGACTTCATACCAAACTATATTTTTCAGTTTGTTCGTCGTCAGGCTAAGTACAAAAAACCGTAAAAAGCTGAGAAAATTACTTATGGGCACATAGAGTAATAAATGATCAAAAAATTGCAAAGCAAGTTCTTCGATATGCGTTCGGCGATCATGTGATGGAAGGTACGTGGGATGGTTGGGTTAGACACGACTCCGCGTTTGGGTGATAGCTATGGAAGCTGCAGCGCTTAGATGTTTCTTTTGAATACATAGGTTTGGATTTGTTAAATTTATGCATACCGCTTCCACATTCTCAAGTAGTCGCACCCTCAGTCTAAGGTTCTGCTGGTATGATGCTTTGTACATGAGCTCAAAAGCTGCCGTCCAGCGTAAACTGGCCATAAAATGGTTGAGGTTTGCTAAAAATATAGTATGATGATGAAAATATAGCATCAGAATATTGAATACTGTATTATGGAGCAAGTAGAAATGAATTCTACAACACTTACGGAATGTGGTGGAGAACGTCATAAAAATTGTCAGCCGTGAATATCGTTAACATTCTCATGTAACATTTAAAATATCTGACTCATAAATGTGAGATCTCATGGTAAGTGTGCAGTCGTTCTCTGAATCGAGTAGTGGTAAAATATAAATCAAACAACATTTTGAACCACTGCATAGATGTTGCCTCCATCAGATGTTCAGGTAAACTTCTCCAAATATATAGCACTGTTCGGTTGAAGCACAGTGGGTGGGTAACTCGCTTCACATCCGGCGCAACAAGTTTGTATCTGTGTCCGCATGTGCTGCATGACCCTAGTGAATGCAGTACTTTCCTCAGCATAGGGAAATCACCAAGATGTAGAATACGGTAGACCATAATGAGATCGAATCGCACCCGACGGTAGGCCAATCCGTTGAGTTCTAGTTTCTCGCACCGGTCTTCATACCCAAGCCACTTAAACTCGCGACGAGCCTGATGGTAACGTGTTGGAGCCGATCAATTTTTGTACGTCGCATCTAGTAATCTTAAAGTAAACGGGTGAACTCTACTCTAGCATCGATCTAATGATGGAAGAAAAGAGACGAGTGTCAACCTCTTCAGACCATGTGCCGAAGTTACGCTTGAGCGCCAAAGCATGCGCAGTCCGTTACGACATAGCCTGTTCGTGTTGTCCACGGACTTCAAATCGTAGCGCGAGGGTGCACCTAGGTCTTTCACGGAGCGTGTGGGATATAGCGGTTGGCCGTCAAGGGTGTAGGTTCGGCCGTCAGCATCCTTCCCCAGTCTCATAAATGCAGACTTGGTTGGGTTGACCGGAAGATGAACTTCCGCAGACCATGTGGATAGGCGGTTGAGGAATCGCTGAAGTAGTTCACTGTCATCAGGAGCGTCAGTTTCTCTCTGAATCTTCATATGGTCTGCAAACAAGGCACACGGCAACCGTAGAAGCTGAGGTAGACCGTTGATGTGGATCGGGAACAGAGTGGGCACCAGCATAGTGCCTTGAGGCGCGCCACTTGTAGAGGGATACCAGTCAGTTAGATGGTCGTCGACCTATACCTTCCACTTTCCCCCAACAAGGAAGTCGCGGATACACTGGTGCAGTGAGCCACCGACACCACACATGCTGAGTTTGTGAAGGAGGGGCTAATGGGTGATCTTATTGAACGCCTTACTGAAATCGATGAATAGCACATTGACAGACTTACCCTTGCTTATTGCCTGCAAGCACTCATGCCTCGTCACAAGCAAGTTTGTAATGCGTGAGCGGCCTTGCATAAAACGGTTCTGTGCGAGCGTCAGGACCTTCTTTTTACCATAGCAACTGCAGCAATCCCTTCTTCCCGATTTTCTCAGTAACTTTTGCCAAAATAGGTGTCAGACAAATTGGCCCGTAGTTACCTAATTTGCCAGGGTTGCCACCTTTCGGAATAGGCTTCACAACTGAAGATTTCCGGTCAATTCGGACAGAGACTTGTTGGAAAGTTTAGTCACGACAGGAGAACTGATGGTTGAAAGTGTGTTAAGAATCAGTGGATGAAGCCCATCAGGTCCGGCAGGTTTGGTGCCATCGAGGCTGGTGAGTAGTTGACATAATACTTCAACACCGCAATCCAGACTGTCGCGTTCGGAAAAAGCGGTACACTTCAAACTCGGTACAGACACTTGCTCACTTGAAAATACAGAAGCAAAATGCGTTTCCAAGGCGGATGCACGCTCATTGTTGGAGGTTAGGGCTGTCCATCCGATCCATCGAGCACTGGCACATCATCTGCCGGAGTCAGGCGTCACTTCATTTATGCAAAGATCCTCTTTGGTGTGGTATTCACGGCCATTGCGAGCTGCTCTTCCCTTTTAGCACTGTTGCAGATGTTCTGCTGACTTCTATAGGCTTCGTAGTCATTGGCAGAGCCAGTGAGGAGGAATCTGTCCACATTCTGCGCTCTCTCCGAGCCAGATTTTCATACTCCTCGTCAAACCAGTGAGGCTTAATCGGTCCAACCTTCCTACACTTCAAGGGCACAAACCGGGAACACAACGATGTCAATCTCACTTTTATAAATGTTCAACAGGCTTCCACAGATGCAGCTTGTGACAGATATTAATCCAGCTGACTCGCAGCTCGAGCTAAACCGTCAAAGTCCTTTTTCCCTTAGTTGTAAGCTGGATCCAGCGGACATGAATATAGCACTGCACCAGTGGATCAGTGATTTACTTATTGTGAGAAGATGGCGGGTTCAGGTGGATGATCACCTGACGGAATGAACAATGAACAAAGATTTATCACGGGATAAAAGCATGTGCTTGACACGTCCCGTAGGATGGTTGGATTGAATATGATGAAGTCAAAATATATGTGGGTCATCTACCGAACGTCTGCCGAGATGAATACTTTGATAAATAACATCAGCGTAAAGTTAAAAATCGAGAGTAAACGTACAAAAATATACTGGGGTGCAGCGGTCGTGGATATAAAACGTGAGAAAAATAAATATGGTCGCTCCTTTGGTTCTACTTGATACATAAATCCTGTTGCAAAGCATGCTTGGCGTAATCTACAATCGAGTTTAGGTAACAAAATGCTGGGAGCCTAGAGCAATATCTAATCGTTTCTTGAAAACGTCCAAGATAGGAGAGGATACAACTGAATTTGGGAGTGCGTTCCAGGGTTGGCAAACCCTAAGGGAAAAGTAATTACGTCGACACTCTAGACGGCTATATTGTTCCTTCAATTTTAAGCAGTTAGATCTGAGCTGTCTGTTGTAGCGAAGTTTCAGCAAGTGTCGTCATACGTGGTTGGGGTCACTCAATATCGGATACGCTAATATGAGATCACCGCGCAGCGTGTGGTAGCGTCCGCTGAAAACTCCCAGCAACTTCAGCCTTCGATGGTAAGAGTGATAGGGCAGGCACTTCGCATTCTTTGTTGCTCTTCTTTGGGGTGCCTCTAACGCCTCTAAGTCGCGTTTCAACCAAAGTTGCCAAGCTTGGATAGCATATTCTACATGCGGACGCACGTAGGAGTTGTGCATCATTGGGAAGATTGATGGATCAAGTCTCCCGAATGCCCATCGTAACATGCCGACGAGCTGGCTAATTCCTTTTGAGGCTTTATCAGCCTGTTTTAAACAGTTAAGGTCACTCTGTACGAGCAAAACATGGTCGTGTTCCTGGGAGTTGGTCTACAATCCGTTTGTCCC